TGTAATCCCAGCAGTAGGGAGGCTGGGGCAGGAGGATCGTTCCGAGTTTGAGACCAGCCTGGGCTACAAAGTGAGCTCAAAGCCAGCCTGAGATGGATAGCGACAAAAAGTCTCAAAAAGACCAAAAAAAAAAAAAAAAAAAAAAAAAAACAGGTGGTGCAAGCCTATAATCCCAGCACTTTGAAAGACTGAAGCAGGAAGATGCCAAGTTTGAGCCCAGGCTGGAGATCATAGACCTTGTCTCAAAGGGCAGGGGCAAAGCTCAGTGCAAAGTCTTGAGTTCTGTCCCCAGTACCTATATGTGTTGTCGAAGCAAGCACCATCCCCAGTATGAAAACAACAAAACAAAATGAAACAAACAAAAACAGTAGGCACTGTGGTACACACCCGAAATCTCAGCACTCTGGGAGGCTGAGGCAGGAGGGAAGCAAACTAGAGCTCAGGCTGGGCGACCTGGCAACTTACACCCTATCTCAAAATTCTAAAAGGTAAAAAGACCTGGAATATAGCTCAGTGTGAAGGTCCTGGGCTCAGTTCCGAAGTACTGAGGTGGACAGAGGCAATCGGAGAAGTAATGCCCTACGGTCTTCGCATTTGTCTGCGGTTTCACTTAATGCACATGCCCAGTAAGGAGGGCTGGAAGGCTGGCGGGGGAGATAAAAAGGATCAATAATACAGCTCAGAAGAGGGGTGGTCAGGGATGAATCCTGCCCACTACTGGTACCCTCACGTTACATCCCAAGTACGGTTAATAAAGAGGGGAGAACAAGACGCTCACCCCATGATCCTGCGCTCCGAGTAGGCCTTTCGCTTGTTGGTGAAGGGCGCAGTAAAGCCCATGAAGGAGCGACTGGGGGCTACGCCGGCCTCGGCCGCCAAGGCCTGCGCGGCGCGGGGCAAGAAGAGGCCGCAGGAGATCAGAAACCTAAGACCAAAGGCAAGGAGAAGCAGTGTCAGGATTCTTTTGCGTTTGGCCACTTCCAGGTGAAGGGCAAGAGGGGCGCATCCCGGAGTGACGTCACCCGGACGAGCTTTTCTCCCAGCACCTGCTGCAGCTCTCCGAGTTCCCCGGCCAGGCAGTCACGAGTGCAAAAGGTCGAGGGCGGCTGAGGACGCGGCCGGAGCGGGGATGGGGACAAGGGGAGCGCGCGAGGTGCCGTCTGCCTGTGGGGGGCTACACTACCGCTGAGAGCGGAGACTCTCGGGAAGCACCGCTGCCCCCGGGCCCCGCCAGACCCGTTACTGCCGGGGCGACCTGCAGCGCCAGGGAGAGGCGAGCACCCACCCGGCGGGTGGGACAGGCAACAGCATCCTCCAAGGCTCCAGGGCCGCCGCGCTGCAGGCCCCCGCTGCGCCCGCATCCCCAGGCCGCCGCCCTGCCCCGCCCG